TAAAACTGTAATTTAAAAACAAGAAAATTTGACTGTAAACCAGTAAATTCAACAATGCACACTGCTATTAAAATCTGTTTTGTAGCTTTAACATACTGACAACCACCATAATAATGCAGCTGGTAAAAGAGAAAGCCACATGAAGAATCAAAGCTAAGTAGCTTCGCCACAAGCAGAAGGTTATACTGATATATAGAAGGTGCACAGAGTCATTCATGCAAACACTAAACACCCATCATGGTAACACACATGATACTTAAATAATGCATTCAACTTTCATTAAACAACAGAAGATGCAACATAAAGCCCAAATATACATAACTAATAACACAAACTATTAAAAAAACATGATTATTTAAACAAAAAACTTTCAAATGTGTGTCATGCAGGGAATTCTGGGAATATCAGTTTACCGTTTTTGACTTTAGATTATACATTGATTTGTTATTTTTACTTCTAAAAACTGTAACAGCATTTTACCGTAAAATACATGGTTAGATATTTTACAGTTTTTCCCTGTATATAGTACGGGAACTTACTGTTAACCTATTAACAGTTTTTTCCCCTGGCGTTTTTACAAAATGTTGTTACAGTGATTGAGCTTGGTAATAAAGTGGAACGTTTTCTATCTATACAGCACTAAATCTCATCTAAACACTTTTGATTAATCGTTTAATTTGATGAACTCATCTGCTTATCAGCATTTGAGAGATGTAGTCAGTCAGTCAAAACAGTTTTGAGGTTAATCTAGTTTTGTTTCTTTGGAAAATAGTCATCTGTGACATTGGTTTATGTTGACTGTCAAAGTTTGTGTCTGTTTGTTAATGAGGGATTCGTGGACACGTCAATGTCCTCGATTTGTGCAGTAAAAGATATCATTTTTATTTTGAAGTAAAACGATCAAATTAAACCCTTGAGGTAAGATGGGCCCGTGGAACTGGCACAGAAGGACCCAAGTGGCATGCTGGGGGTGTTATTACTTTTAATACTTTTTGTGATCAATGGGGTTATAGGCTAAATAATTCAAATCATTCAGTTTAGAGTTGCTTTTATGACTAATCCTGGGCAATTAAATATGTAATTATGCCTGTATATATGTCATAGCGTAAATTTACTTATCAGATGAATCTTTTGTACTTGGCTTTTGCGCTGTCTGTCGTCGCTTATTCAATTATTCAACTAAATTGTCAAAATACAATTTTAAATTGAATAGTAGATTTAGTATTTTAACACCTTAGTTGATGCATCATCATCCTGTATACTAAACTTGCCAAAAATAGAATTCTCAACATTGCTATAAATCATAAAGCATAAATCATTAGTACTGTGCCTTTGATTTATTATTCTGATGTATATAACATATTATAACAATATTAATCTAGTATCATCCTGCACTGTAAAAAAAATCCGTAAAATTTACGGTAAAAAAACGGCAGCTGTGGTTGCCGGAATTTTACTGTAAAAAATATGGTAGCAACGTTTTAGGTTTTACGGTTTTAACTTAAATGTAGTTAAATACCATAATTTCATTAACTGATATAATGTTAATATACCAACCTTATTGAAGTACTGAAATCTGTTTTGTACCTTTGTAATACACTAATAACCACCAAATGCAGGAGGTGATGAGAAAGTTACATGATGATCCAAAGCCCATCACAAGCAGCTTTTAAATAATAACATATATAGAAGGTGCACAGTGTCATTCACACTAACGCTAAACACCATCACGGTAACACACATGAAACTGAAATAATGCAATAAACATTAATTTAACAGCATTAGGTGTAACACACAACCCTAACATACAAAACTGATAAGAAAAAACTAAGAAGAAACATAGTTATTTCAACAAAAAAACATCAAATTTGAAATTCTGGGAATGTCAATTTACGGTTATTCACTGTAAATTATACGGTCTTTTTCCACTTCCAAATACGGTATACTACCGTAAAATTAATGTCCAATACATGTAATGTCCAGTACAGTTTTTCACCGTATATAGTAGGGGAGTTTACCGTTAACCATTTAACAGGTTTTTACTGTAGCATTTTTACAGTCTTTTACCGTTAAATTCACAGTAATTTTTTACAGTGTGTCACATACAGCAGATACTACCATGATGCATGCTTAAAATCCCAAAACTAGGCTTACTTTTCGCAACAAAAGTGTTATTTCTTATGTTTTTTTTCTTGATTTCAGGGTTAAATATGACCTTGACATTTTTGTTAGATGCACCCTATATAACACAGTTCACAGCCTTTAATCTGCAGACATTCCTCTGCTGTTTTTTAGGTTCTTGGGAGGGGTGAAACATGGAAAGGTGGAGATTACATGTCTCCTCCAGGTGGAGGGCAGAAGGTGCGCCTGCTGAAGTCTGCTCTGGAGGACATACAGGACGAGAACAGAGTCATTCTTTTTGTGGATAGGTACTAGTTATGTCCATCATAATTATGTCTGTACTGTCTCAGCGATCAGTGCTGATCATTGGCAGTAACGATTGTTTATGCTTGGGCTTTCCACAGCTATGACGTGATCTTTTCTTCTGGTCCGAGAGAGCTGCTGAAGAAGTTTCAGCAGGCCAAGCACAGAGTTGTGTTTTCTGCCGAGACGCTCATCTGGCCGGACCGTCACCTGGAAGACAAGCATCCTCATGTCAGAGAAGGGAAGAGGTTCCTTGGAGCAGGAGGCATGTATTCCTCTCTTGTTCTGTTACCGTTACTCAAGAGCTTTAGATGTACTGTTAGCTCTGTTAGCTCAATTCGGTGTAGTTCTGGATTCATGAATGTTATGAATCATTATTTACACAAATTTCACGTGATATGATACGAGTTATTGGTGTGTTCAAGTTCTCCTGGGACGTTCATTTAGTGGTTGGAAGTGAATACACAACGTTAAATCTCCTTAGTTGGCACAAGATGTCAATGTCCTTTTCTACAAACAAATACAGCAATATTTTTTTTGAATTCTACTTCTGCAAAAGGATGAATGAAGATTGTGCATCAGTGTGTTTTTGCTTTTTTATGTTTTTATTCAACTTATGAAGGTGTGTAACCTGATTTATTACATATTTTATCATAATTGTGCAATACTATAATATTTTGTATATGCAATTTTGCTAGTTTTATTTTAAAAACAAAAACAAAATGACAGCCAACTCAGAAACTGGAGCTCAAAGAAAATAAAGTGTTCCCCACTCATAATTATGACACGAAGTCATAATTATGGTGTTGATGTGCGTTCATCTCATAAATACGTTGCATCGTATGTTTCACCACAAAATCAAAAGAGTAAATGAATACATTTGATTTTGTTTAAATACAAAGAGGCTCTTTTTAGGACCATTAAGATCACGTTTTATTATTGTAATACAACAGTAAAAAAAAAAAAAAAGTTGTGCTGTTCAGTATACTATTAAAATGTCTTTGAAAAATCATTACAATTCAAACGACATATATACAATTATACTTTACTTTTCTGATTAGAGTAGGTGCTATAATTGGGTTTTTGTTCATTTCAAAGCCCTAAATTAAGCGATTATGAAATTATTAGTTTAACAGTGGATGAATGCTAAAGTTTTGGAGGCAATGGTGCGTGGAACAGAATGGAAGCAAATCATTGCATGTGATAATCCCTTGTATCATCACCAACTAAATCTCTTTTAACCTTGTATATTCTAGTCTTTGTACAGAGTTAACTTTACCAAGAAAGAACTGCTTTACTAAGACGTTTGAGGCTTCTTCCTTTTTTAATTTCCTTTCTCACAATCTCTCAGAATGTTCCAGAAACACTCATACTTATAGAGGGATGTCAAACAGATGAGAAATAATCAGACTAATAATTAAAAGATAAGCTTAAATCATCCAATTACACATTTAAACCAGATAATCATAGGTTGTTTTGTGTCTATTTATAGGCTTTTTCAAATGTTTTTTTTTCTAGGCTTCATTGGCTATGCACCCAATCTTAAAAAGATGCTTTCGGACTGGTCAGGAGCAGACAGTGACAGTGACCAACTCCATTTCACCAAGATATATATCAACCCGGAGAAAAGAGTGAGTGTTTGAGTATAGTTTGTTGGATATAGCGTGGTTTCCTAAAACTTTATTGCTCCGTTTTAAGATCTTTAGGCTTGTTTTCAGAATGCACATTCAAGTTCACAGTTTCAGTAAAGACACATATTAAATGTGTTTATGCTGCGTTTTATCATTTTCTTCCCTGTCATTTCCTCTTTAGAAGTCTATAAATATAACTCTGGACAACAAGTGCAGATTGTTCCAGAATCTTCACGGAGCTCTCGGTAAGTGTATCATTTTGTGTTCTTACAGCCTGCTTTAGAAATAAAGCTGTTTAAGGAGCCTTCTGCAAAATTCTCACTAGCATCAGCTCTCTGAAGAAAAACATCCTTTTTTATGGCCTCCAAAGTGCAGCGTCAGTACAGTTCTCGCTCTCTGATACCTGCTGGGAAGTTTCCTCTTTCTGTAGCCTTTCGGTTTAATGAGGAATCGCTAATGCAATGCTTTGCCGAGGGTCTCAAATGCTCTTGTTTGAGTTTAAAGCTGTGCTCTGCTCGCCTCGCAGCTGCAGTTTTGACTCGCTGCCAGATTGTGGGAGTTGCCTGTAATGGCATTTGTGGCTGTAATGTCAGAGCTGACTGTGAGATGTGCCTGTGCACACGTACACCATCGCAGCTGGACACTACAGCCCTGGTGTGCCACACTGCAGCTTGAGTTTGTGTCCGGTTTGTTATAATAGCACATAAATACTTAGGCATGCTGCCATTTGTAAGAGATGAATAACTATAAAGTAAACAAGGGCTTGTAGACTACTAGTTCATATAAGTTCTCATTGTGTGGATCAGTAATTCAGTTTCAAATGTCTGTTTAAATTGACCTAAGGAACTATAGTGACGTTTTATCCTTGAGATCCACAAAATTGGCTTCTTCCTGGTCCCAAAATGTATTTCAAAGAAGAAGAAAAAAGGCTACACTTTAATTTAGGCTGTGTTGTTGCAGTGTAATCATGCTGTACATTTAAGTACAGAGTGATGTTAATTGACAGCATGTACTTATTAAAGGGTTAGGGTTTTGATTTATCATGCAATAATTTACTGTTATTGCATCAGTAAGTACAAGTAATGTGAAACAAGGACACTGTACAGTAAAGTGATACAAACACTGTAAATGCATTGCATATTAATATTGATGCAGTAACTTTCAGTAAGAAAGCAAGAAGAAGAACATTAAGAAACATTAGTGTGATCCCTCATTCATCTTCAGTTAATATCACATCCATGGAATTCATTTCCTGGTTCTTCATCGTCTGAAAAGTTCACCGTTTCAGTTTCAAAAGGCTGTTTACAAAGCTTCCTTTCTCTTTCCAGATCAGAGTTATCCATTACAGATACCCGAGAGAGATTCTTTCAAACATTTATGGAGGAGATCCTTTATAAGTGAGCCAGTGGATACTTCTGGCCATTTAACTGACCATATAACTACTACACAATGATTGAAGCAGAATTCAACTGCAGCACTGAATGATTATGTCTGTGGAATTTTAATCAGAATGTTAATGCTAATAATTTTTTAATTGCATGAACAGATGAGGTGGTGCTGAAGTTTGAAGATGGACGTGTGCGAGCCAGAAATGTGCTTTATGACACGCTGCCTGTTATTATCCATGGCAACGGACCCACCAAAGTAAAACCATTTACTGTTATGATCCAAAACTCTTATGACTTATTAATTAGTTCCGTTGTTTTAGGTAAATCAAACAAAACAGTGCAACACGAGCAAAACATTTTATAAATCAAAGCCACAAATTATTAATTTGTGTGAACAAATTCTTAATTCATGGCCATAATATCTATTTTTGTTTTTATTCCGCATGTTATGCGAGGGGCTCCGTACAATTTCATGATTAAATATTCTTGTAAAAATAGATATCATAAATTAATCAAGTAAATTAATAAAAGTCAAATAGCTGCACATTTTCACTGTTTAAGTCATAAGCATTCATAGACACTTCTATAAGTAGCTAAAACATATAGATTTCAGCAGAAATGTAGCTTTAGCTGAATAATTGTTTGTCTTTTTTAATCTGCAGGAGAGTGAATATCCGGTGGTGGTCATTGGGATCTTCATCCAGCAGCCCACACCCTTTGTCACTGTGTTCTTTGAGCGCTTACTTAACCTCAAATACCCCAAAAACCGGCTCCAATTATTCATCTATAATCAGGTAAAATATTATGTTCAGTTTATAACTATAACTCTGCATGTTTTAACAGTTAAGCAGTAACACTTTACAATAGCTATGTTTCCATTCAAAGTTACGAATTAAGGCCTTTTCACACTGAGCGCGAAAATCGGCGCGATGACGCTTTTGAATCGAAACAGTAGATCACTATGGGGCTATTCACACCAAGCGCGATCATTCGCCACGCAAAAAAAGCGTAAAAAATTTTTTTTGTCCTGTGTGTCGATTTTTTCCCCGTCGCTCTGCGGCGAAACGGGCCGTCCAATGACATTTGAGCTTAGATCACGTGCCCGGAGCAGCTGCCGTTGCTCAAAAGGGCGAGAACAGATTTATTTTCACATGTTCTTAATATAATTTATATTAATTCTCCACTGAATTATGTGATCTGGAGAGCACTGTCCATTTTCTTCCATGTGCGCGAGTGTTATGAGTCAGAGCGCGTTCACACTTAAGATCTTCCGTATTAAAAAAAAAGTCGAGTGAAACATTTTTCTACACATGAAATATGAGAGCAAATAGACATGATTATGATGATATATTTTCTGTGTGTTTTGTATGCAGCTCATGGTATTTTTTATAACAATAAAGGATGTTTATGACAAATGATAAGTGTAGCATTATTAAACATACAAAGAGTGCATGTCTGCCTATTATAGAATCAAAATCAACTATAGATCACAATCGGAAGTTATTACAAACACTCGATGATGGTTTAAAATGGATTTTAAGCAAATACATGAATAATTACATAAATTTTCATGTGTAGCTTGTAGCTCTAATTATATTTTAGGATGTATTCTTGTAAGCATTATAGATAGTTTGTGTTTCTGGTGTAGAACCAAACTATATTTATCTTAATTTAATGCTGTATATTGAGCAGCGGACAATGTTAAATCCATATACGAAATACATATCTGAGGAAAAATGCGTTGTTGGTCGGCGCCACCTAGCGTGCAGGCGTGAATTAGCAGAAGGCGATCAATGGTTTCGTGCTCGGTGTGAAAGCACCATTCGTCGGCGATTCGCCTCACTTTTTCGCATCGCGCTCAGTGTGAAACGGCCTTTAAACTTGTGTGCAAAATTGGAATATCGCATAAAAAAAATATCACCAAGAAAAATTTAATTTGCTGCAGCAGGAGAAGGCACTGTATATAATCATTTTTGTATACAATAAATGACGAGCTTCAGAGCGCGCAGATGAAACGCCGGTCATGTTATCTTATTTTCAGAGTCTGCTGTTTAGGAACGCAGTTCGGGGAGTTAATTATATCGAAGCACTTGGACGAGACTTTGCACAAGCATTTTGGAATGACAAAACTAGCATTTCAGATGCTGTGCAATGTCCAGCTTTATACTGTCCCATAGGGATGCACCGATATGAAAATTTTGGCCGATACCGATAACCGATTATTCTTTATTTTTGAAAGCCGATAACCGATATGTTGGCCGATAAATCTATATCCAAATTGTTATATACTTTTTGAGAGCCTGATTACAAAAAAGGTCTCATCATTAAAAGCCACATCCCAAACACTTCAACATAAGCAGCCTAGTTTGAACGGTGTACGTTTAAAAAATATTTTTACTCTCCCATTACCAAATTTAGTCATAAAAAAGCCTTACAGTCCCACCGCAAAGTCACATGTCTTTTTTGATGCGCATTAAGGAATTTAATCGGTAAAAGTCTTTCCATCGTAGTTTAGACTCATGTTTTCTTACTGGATAAGACATTTATCTTACTTAGTTGAGTACACAAGTTTTATGCACATTTTTAGAATTCATGCGCATCTTGGCATTTCCATCCAGCGTTTTTTTTATGCGATATCCCAAAATGTGCATACAAATAGCTGGATGGAAACATAGCTACTAAGGTTTCATTTGTTAACATGAACTAGGGTTAGGGTTAGGGTTAGGACTAACCCTAACAATGAACAAAACTTGAACAGAATTTATTAATACTAGACTATATTCATTTCAACACTTACTAGTACATTTTTTAACTCAAAAGTTGTATTTGTTAACATTAGTTAATTTACTGTGAACTAACATTTATATCGTTACTAACATTAACAAAGATGGATAAATGCATTTACAAACGTTAACAAATGGGACTTTATTGTCAAGTGTTCACAAATAAGCTCTTAAAATGACGAAAGTCCTTATTGGAGTTTATTTTTAAAGGCATAATGAGGTAATTATGTATAAAATGAGCATTAAATGTAACTTAAGAGTTATGTGAATCAGGACATGTGAATAAGATCAGTATCAGGAAACTGTTAAATACATTGTTGAGCATCATATGATATTCTTTTCATAAGTTGGGTCTTTATTGTTAAAGGCGTATCAGATCAGATTGAATGTCATTAAGCAGCAGTTTTTCACATGAACCTTTTGTATATTAATGAATCGGGTTGCCTACGTTGTTCATTATTGCCATTCTTCATAGATGTTTTTTTTATGTTCAATACATATAATGAGGAACAATACTTTGGATTTATATCTTTTGCAGGAATCACACCACGGACCCCACGTACGCACATTTCTAGAGTATCACGAGTCTGAATACCAGGGTGTGAAGCTGATTGGACCAGAGGAGGATATAGATCCTGTGACCTCACGTAATATTGGCTTGTGAGTGGGCTTTTCAATATTTATTTTTATAAAAAAATTAAATTTGAATACTTTAATGACCATATCAAACCGCATATAGTTTGGCATTGCACAAATGGCTCCTTTGTGCTTTGAATATTCCATTGATCTCGTTTTTTCTATTTCTATTTCTGCAGCGATATGTGTCGAGACAACATTGACTGTGAATACTTCTTCAGCGTAGACGTGGACGTGGTTTTAAAGAATGAAGACACACTTAGAATCCTTATTGAGCTCAATAAGTAAGTGAAGAAGTAAGACCTGGAGTATAGAATGAACTTGACAAATGAAGGCAAGGCTATGTTTTCTTTGTTTAGGTCATGTCCTCTATTGAAATATAGTAATGTAACTGGTGGTAAAGCTGTATGGACAGCATGCACAAATACTACACGTACAGTAATGCACTTAAAATGGAAACCTGTGGGTCAAATTGTGGAGGATTGAAAAAAAAAAATGTGAATGTGTTTTATTACATGCCTTACATGAATTATACTACTTTCTAATGAATTTTCAGCATCATTACTCCAGTCTTCAGTGTCACACGATCCTCAGAAATCATTCTAATTTGCTGATATGCTGCTCAATTCTTATGGTAAACATTACTTATTAGTATTAATGTTGAAAACTGTTTTGGCTAATTAATATTTTTGCGTAAACTGTGAAAGACTACCATTCAAAGGTTTAAAAAGACATTACACTTTATTTGCTCGGTTTTATTTTGTGAAACCTTACTACGTATATGGAATAACCGTTTTATAAAAGCAATAAGCCCCATGAAGCCCCACTCCGCTCCACGTCGTACCTAACAATGCCCCTTAGCTGTTATAAATTCACTGTAAACCACGGCTTCACGGGGCTTATTGCTTTATTAAATTAATCAAAAGTGACCGTAAAGATATTTATAAAGCTACAAAAGATTTCGGTTTTGAATAAACGTTGTGTTTTCCAGCTTTCATCAAAGAATCATGAAAAAAAATGGATCATGTTTTCCTTAAAAATATTAAGCAGCAAAATCTGTTTTCAGCATTGATAATAATAAGAACGTTTATTAATAACTGAGCACCAGTAATCAGCACATTTATATGGTTTCTGAAGGATGGTGTGACACTGAATGCTGGAGTTTCCTGATATTGATATTTCTGATACTGATTTTTATTTATTGATTTTTTTTAACATGTTCAGATTCGCATAACTCTTAGGTTTAATGCTCATTTTATATATACTTACCTCATTATACCTTTAAAGCCATAATACTTTTTTTCTAATGATTTGATTGTAATCATTTTTGTTTTTCATAGGCCTTTCATTGCACCAATGATGACCAAACCCAGGCTTCTGTGGACAAACTTCTGGGGCGCTCTCAGTGCGGACGGGTACTACGCCAGATCAGAGGATTACGTGGACATAGTTCAAAGACACCGCATGTAAGCTGGTGTTTAGTTCATTTCATTTGTTTTGTGATATGATTTGAGAATCCAGAGATACACTTCCAGTCAAAAGTTTTTGAACAGTATGATTTTTAATGTTTTTATTTTTTTTTAAAGAATTCTCTTCAGCTCACCAAGCGTGCATTTTTGCACGGCAAAAACAGTAATATTGTGAAATATTTTTACCATTTAAAATAACTGTGTAACAAAGTTCATAAGTCGGGAAGAAGGAGGCGGGAACCGGCGAACATTTAAACAAACTTTAATAATAAAATAAACACAAAACAGCGCGACAGCCCCTCGCGGACGACTGTCGCGCACAAACAAAACACAAAATAAACTCCAGGCCTGGTCCTCTCTCGTCTTTCCCTGTCGTCACTCCTCCTTTGTATCCTTCCGGAGCTCCTCCGTGAGACTCGAGACCGGTGAGTGGTGCAGGTGTCGCGCATTCGCAATTACTCCACCGGCCTCGCTCCGTTCCCACGGCTCTCGGCCCCGCCCCTCGCAACACAAACTGGTTTCTATTTGAATATATTTTTAAATGTAATTTATTGCTGCGGTACGCAGCTGAATTTTCAGCATCATTACTCCAGTCTTCAGTGTCACATGATCTTCAGAAATCAGTATAATATGCTGATTTGATGCTCAAGAAACATTTTTATTACTATTATCAATATTTAAAAAAAAGTTGAGAATTTTTCCAGGATTCTTTGATGAATAGAAAGATCAGCATTTATTTGAAATAAAAAGCTTTTGTCACATTATACACTATATTCAAAAGCTTGGAGTCAGTATAATTTATTAAGGTTGTTTTTTTTTTTTTTTTGGGGGGGGGGGGGGATTATAGAAATTAATATTTTAATTTAGCATGGATGCTTTTAATTGATCAAAAGTGATGATAAACACATTTATAAATGATACAAAATATTTCTATTTCAGATAAATGCTGTTCTTCTGAACTGTCGATTCATCAAAGAAACCTGAAAAAAATTCTACCTTGCTGTTTAACAATTATAATAAATGTTTCTTGAGCAGCAAATTAGACTTGATTTCTGAAGAATCATGTGACACTGAAGACTGGAGTAATGATGCTGAAAATTCAGCTTTGATCACAGGAATAAATTAGATTTTATAATATATTTAAATAGAAAACAGTTATTTCAAATAGTAAAAATATTTCAAAATTTGACTGTTTTTGCTGCACTTTGGATCAGATCAATGCAGGCTTGGTGAGCAGAAGAGAATTCTTTAAAAAAAAAAACATTAAAAACATTACGGAGGTCTAGTATGATGAGTATATTTCACTGCTCAAAAAAAATATGAAGCAAGTCTTTGAAATTCATCAAACCGGGGCGAATGGCAAACATGTGACTGTTCTCCGGTGCCTCCACAGGGGTTTGTGGAATGTGCCATACGTCTCTCACATATTCCTGATGAAAGCCGATGCATTGAGGACTGACCTCAAAGATCCTGACCTGTTTGAATCCGCAACGCTAGATCCGGATATGGCCTTCTGCTCCAAAGTTCGAAACAAGGTCAGACATTAAACTCAAGAAATAATTATATCTTACAAGTATATATTGCTGATTGATATCTATAAATTTCATTCCTAGGGCGTCTTCATGTTCGTAACAAATGTGCACACTTATGGTCGAGTTTTATCAACTGAAAATTACCAGACAAACCACTTGCACAATGATCTCTGGCAGGTCTTTGAAAATCCTGTGGTAAGATAAAATCACAACAACATTTCATTGAATATTATACAAGACATTCTTGCTTTATTGTTTGTTAACGGTGTGTTTTTGCCTTATTGTTCTTTAATGTTTTCCCTGGAACAGGAATGGGAGGAAAGATACATTCATGAGAATTATTCCAACGTTTTGAAAGATGGTTTCATAGAAACGGTGAGTTTTCAAACGAGGCATACGATCGGAGGCGTCATGCACGTGCCCCCTCAGATTCTTGAGCCAAGTGGATTTCGAATGCAACTTCCAAAATACAAAAATATAGCCGAAAATATATTTTTTATATTTGATAATCACACCGGCGTGATTAGATCGCTCTAAGTGTGGCACAGCATCAGCTGCTAAATACAAATCTGCGTTTGCTGGCTGGCGCTGAGTGTTTTTAAGCACGGCGCATTATAACCAATCACACACGATTCTGTTGAGCTTATGAATGCAAGGACCAATCAGAGGCGTTCAGATGAGTCACTGAAACACGCCGTTTTGTTCACTTGCTCGGTGAATGAATTCTGCTCTCTAATGAATTCTCTCATCAGAAACAACAAAGTGCAGATGAGCGTAATGAGAGTTTAAATGTTCTTTGCTTTCTTCCTGTACAGTGAAAGTGTTATAGCTAGTGAATTACAATGTTTTTATTAAATTCACATTAAATACAAAGTCAGTCGTATTAAAAATATTTTATGGCATGGCACCCAAGTAAAAAGATGGGTTTTTATGCAAAGTTAATAGATTACAGTATTAGGCAACTTTGCCCATCGTCCATTATAGATCAACTATCTTAATCTATAAAGGTGCAAAACGCATTTACTTACACATATTTGAGAATCGAGATATCAACACGTTTGGGAATATTTCGAATAAAAAGGGAACAAAAAAAATGAATAAAACACAAGCCTATATCAGTTATACGTGTCGTGGCTGCTGTGTCTTCACTCGTGCCCCCACAAAAATATTGAGTGCGATAACAGCAGCATTTTCTGAAGATTACAGTTTTTAATATTACATACTGTATAGCATTATTGTCCTGTCTTTGAGACTATAAGGCTAGCTTTCAAAAGCTTGAGGTCAGCAATTTGTTAAAGGTGACGTATCATGAAAATCTGACTTTTCCAGGTTTTGAGTGCTATAATCAGGTCCCCGGTGCATCTACCAACCAAGGAAACGTGAAAAAGATTAACCCAATTACTTTGTTTTGGGAAGCCTTTTTCTGCAAGCGTCTGAGAAAACAAGCGCGTCTGATTTCGCTCCCTTGGTGACGTGGCAAAGGGATCTCATTATAATATTACCGCCCCTTAATCTGTAAATTTAATGATTCATCAACACGGCTGGGATCCATTTGCAGTTTTATTTGAAACTTAATTAAACAAGTGGAGGTCAAGACACAGATTAGGCAGTATCGTAGGGCAGACAGAATGGGGATCATAGACAGACCTGAGATCGGGGCAGGCAGATATCATTCAGAAACTGAGACAGTCTTTGGTCAGTGCAGTGTGGCAATCCAATGTCGATAGTCCAGTATCCAGAGCACAAGTCCAAGGGGCAGGCAGCAAATCAACAAGAGACAAAAGGCAGGCAGAGGTAATAACAGAAGGCAGTCCAATGTAACCGGAATAACGCTCAGAGATGTTCACCAAGGCAAAACAAGACTACACAGAGAATCTGGGTGAAAGAGCTCATTAAATAGTCTAAAGTAATGGGGAACAGGTGTGGGAGAATGATCAGTGACAGCTACAGGGCTGATGGGAAATGTAGTGCGGGGAGTAAACTAGTACTCTGGTGATGAAGCCCTCTGGTGGCCAGAAGAGAGAGTAACAGAAGCGCTCTCCGTAACAGTAAACTTCCACTCAAGGCACCGTCATTTTGATTTCGCAAGTGACAACGATGTACCAGTTCTAATGCCATGGTGAAAGTTTGAGCGAAACATGCTAACTGTTCTGTCTTTGGCAGCACAGACGAGCACAGAACACTATTTAGAGTCCCAGCCTCAGAGGAGACAACAGAGCAGTGCATTGATTTATTTAGGCTACTGTATATTGCTGCCGCCACACAGATCAAAAATAAACAAGCAATTTATTTCCCAGCTGTTTACCTTCACAGACATAACTGTTTTTGTAACTTGTGTGTTTTTAACGTAAACTTGTGTGTGAATGAGAACTTAGTTTAGTACTCACATGCTGTGACAGCCGCTTTCTGTGCGTGTGCTTCAAATGTGTGCGCTCAGAAAACCTTATATCTGAAGTTTAAACTCATATGGTTTAAAACGCATGATTTCAGCGCGATAAACATGATAATCAGAACCAAAACAGATGTTTTTAGCAGATACGAGCTGTAAAGGCACAGCTGTATTCTGGAAAAAGGGGTGAGGAGCAGCAGCTCATTTGCGTTTAAAGACACAGGCCCGAAAAACAGCTTGTTTCTGCTTCCACTCAAAATAGGCATTTTCAAAATGATATAATAAATGATCTGTGGGGTATTTTCAGCTGAAACTTCACAGACACATTCTGGGGACACCAGAGACTTATATTACATATTGTAAAAAGGGGTATAATATGTCACCTTTAAAGAAATTCAGCAAAGATGCATTAAATTTATCAAAGACTTTTATAGTGTTACAAAACATTTTTATTTCAAATGTGTACTTTCTATTCATCAAATAACCATAGTTTACACAAAATATTGAGTAGCATAATACCGTATAATACAGTACACATAATACAGTAGCACCGATAATAATCAGAAATGTTTTCTTGAGCAGCAAATCAGTATATTATACTGATTTCTGAAGATCATGTGACACTGAAGACTGGAGTAGTGATGCTGAAAATTCAGCTTTGATCACAGGAATAAATTATATGTTCAGACTGAAAACAGTTATTTAAAATGTTTTATAATGTTTCACAATATTGCTGTATTTTACTGTATTCCTGAGCATCAGGAAAAAACTCAAACTCGTACTGACCCCAGACTCGTGTCCAGTCGTTTGTGAAGTCATTATACTTGTTTGTAATTCTCTGTGTAGCCGTGCCCTGATGTGTACTGGTTTCCTGTGTTCACCGACGTGGCCTGCAAACATCTCATTGAAGAGATGGAACATTTTGGCCAGTGGTCAGGAGGAGGAAATACGGTATGTTGTGGTTTTCCTGTACCATCCCCATGCTATTTACTTTACTTTACGATTTACTTGAGCATGATTATGACTTCTTTTGCTTGTAGGACAATAGGATCCAAGGAGGATATGAAAATGTCCCAACTATTGATATCCACATGAATCAGGTGGGCTACGAAAAAGAATGGCAGAAGTTCCTTTTGGATTATGCAGCGCCGGTCACTGAGAAAATGTTTCCAGGATACTACACAAGGGTAAGACTTACTTTGTTCTCCTGAAGAAGTCATTATATTTGTCTTGAACTCAACTCCCCATAAAAAAATGAAAAGAAACAATTTTGCTTAGTGTTTTAATAGCATTTATAGTATTTTTGTTGTGCACATTACGGTGTGTTTGAAAGAAGTCTCTTAAAGCTCAGAGATGCAATTTTCGATCAAAAATACACTAAAAACAGTAATATTGTGAAATATTATTACAATTTAAAAAAACAAACTGTTTTCTATTTTAATATATTTTATACATAAATAAATGTAATGTATTCCTGTGACCAAAGCTGAATTTTCAGCATCATTACTCCAGTCTTCAGAGTCACATGATCTTCAGAAATCATTTTACATGCAGATTTATTATTTCTTATGGTAAATAATTCTTATTATTATTAATGTTGAAAACAGTTTTTGCTGTTTAATATTTTTGAGGAAACTAATACACTATGATTCTAAAGTTTGGGGTAAGTGAGATTTCATTAAAATAATAATAATACTTTTATTCAGCATGGATGCATTAATTCATTCATTGAATGATACAGTAAAGGCATTTATAATGTTACAAAAGATTAATATTTCAAATAAATGTTGTTCTATTCATCAAAGATTTAAATATATATATATATCATGGTTTCCATAAAAATAGTAAGCAGCAAAATCTGTTTTCAACATTGATAATAATAAGAACCATTATTAATAATTGAGTATCAATAATAATTGATAAAACTCGAGCAGCAAATCAGCATATTACAATGATTACTGAAGGATCATGTGACACTGAAGAGTAATGATGCTGAAAATTCAGATTTGATCACAGGAATAAGTCACATTTTAACATATTCACATAGAACACAGTTATTTTAAATTGTCATAATATTTCACAATATTACTGTTCTTACTGCAGTTTTGATCAAATAAATGCAGCCTTGGTGAGCAGAAGACACTTTCAAAAAATCTTAATTTGAATAACTTTAGACTAGTTGTGTAAAAATGAAGACATTCCTGACTGGGTGATGTTTGCATGTCAGCATGAAGCAGCGTCACACATTTATTTCCAGTGAAACCAGATATTTGAGAAACTCCAGATATAATGAGATATAATTATTTTATTCTCATGGTCTGGAAGAGTGGCCATTGTAATATGTACCAGAGTGGAGGTGTTTTCTTTGAATGCTGCTTGATGACTCTGCCTCTGTGTGTGTGTTTGTCTCCTGCAGGCTCAGTTTGATCTGGCGTTTGTAGTCAGATATAAACCTGATGAACAACCCGCACTAAGACCACATCATGACGCCTCTACTTTCACTATCAATATAGCGCTCAATCAAGTGGGCATTGACTATCAGGTGAGTGAAAACATGCTGATGATGCTTGGCTGTGCGATGCAGTTTTCTTTTTGTTAAATGCTTGTATGTTACACTAAAAAAAGTTAAACGACTGTGTCATTTAAAGTGCATTTTTATATTGTTCTAACTGAAAATCTTGTTTTCCTGATTACCTTGAATCATGGTAACTGACTTGTTACTGTTTTGTTCAGTTGTCTAAAAGCAAATAACACTCCCCATAAAAAAAAATGAAAAGAAATTATAGATAAGATAGCATTATAGTATTTTTGTTGTGCAGAAAACATACTGGTTAGCTTTACTAAGTGCAGAAATGATTGTGGGTTTAAAACAAAACAAAACATAGACTTTAGTGTTCTTCTAAATTTTAATGATTTGCTTTTGGTTGATTTAATTATTTGAAATGTATGTGTCATTTAAAGTGCATTTTTATATTGTTCTAACTGAAAATCTTGTTTTCCTGATTACCTTGAATCATGGTAACTGACTTGTTACTGTTTTGTTCAGTTGTCTAAAAGCAAATAACACTCCCCATAAAAAAAATGAAAAGAAATTATAGATAAGATAGCATTATAGTATTTTTGTTGTGCAGAAAACATACTGGTTAGCTTTACTAAGTGCAGAAATGATTGTGGGTTTAAAACAAAACAAAACATAGACTTTAGTGTTCTTCTAAATTTTAATGATTTGCTTTTGGTTGATTTAATTATTTGAAATGTTGAAATACCTGAAACTGTAGTTTCCAGCATGCTTTGCATAGGACTTAATGGGGCAAAATAGTTGCATTTTTTGAAGTTTTGTTTGTCTGTTAGAGCCTAATGAGAAAACAACTGGATAGTTTAATGTTGTGTTTGGATTTAGAGCCACTTCAATTACTTTGCTTAGGGCTGAGGATGGGTATATAAAGACTTATTAAACAGTTAAATCTTATAATTCAGTGATGTGACAGAATAATAAAAAAAACACACACATACACACACACACACACACACACTCACACTCACACTCTCTCTCTCACACACACACACTCACTCTCACTCACACACACACACACACTCTCTCACTCAGACACACACACACTCACACTCACTCAGACACACTCTCACTCACACACACACACACACTCTCACTCACACTCACTCAGACACACTCTCACTCACACACACACACACTCTTACTCACACACACACACACACACTCTCACTCACTCACACACACTCTCACTCACACACACACACACTCTTACTCACACACACACACACACACTCTCCCTCACTCACACACACTCTCACTCACACACACACACACTCTTACTCACACACACACACACACACTCTCCCTCACTCACACACACTCTCACTCACACACACACACACTCTTACTCACACACACACACACACACTCTCCCTCACTCACACACACTCTCACTCACACACACACACACTCTCACTCACACACACACTCACACACACACACTCACTCTCACTCACACACACACTCTCTCACTCAGACACACACTCACACTCACTCAGACACACACTCACTCACACACACACACACACACACTCTCACTCACACTCACACACACACACACACTCTCACTCACTCACACACACACACACTCTCACTCAGACACACACACACACATATATATATATATATAAATTGGCTGTAACAAATTTGAGTATTTTTTAAGTTGGCCAAAGTATAATTGTTCAGTGTAGTTTAATGCAATGTTTAAATATTATTATTATTATTAGTATACAGAACCTAATCTTATATATACATATATATATATATATAAATTGGCTGTAACAAATTTGAGTATTTTTTAAGTTGGCCAAAGTATAATTGTTCAGTGTAGTTTAATGCAATGTTTAAATATTATTATTATTATTAGTATACAGAACCTAATCTACAGTAATATAAATATATGGTTTCTTCGTATCTTGAATTTAAGGCATGCAAACTATTGGTTGGTAAAATGTTAATGTTGTAACACAGCAGCTCTCCTGAAAGAGTGAGATGTGGAGATACAGAAAGTGTCTCTGGCCTGGGAAGGCCTTTCAGTCTATTCTTTTTGGATGTAAATTATTATAGTACATATTTCCTTTGCATCCCGATTCTCTCCTTTTTATGGAAGCCCGTTTCTGCCACTGAATAAAACAAATAGAAAAGGTAATTGTGACCTTTTTTATCTCACAATTCACAATTTTTCTCAGATTTTTCTTTTCCTCACACCTTTAAATTGCATGTTAAAGTTGCAGTTGCATGTTATAAATTCAGAATTGTGACATATCTCACAATTATGAGAAAAAGTAAATATTGCGAGATAAGAAATGTTTATATATATCACAATTCTGACTTGATAACAGCAATTACGAGAAAATAGTTAAGAAATGCGAGTTTATATACTGCACAACCACTTTGTTGGAACCACAACTGATTCTGAGGAACTACATTGTTTGGCTGAAGAATACTGTTTTTATTAATATCATTATACTTTACTTGCTCTGTTTTATTCTGTGAAACCTTACTACGTATATGGAATAACCATTTTATAAAAGCAGAATCAGGCAATTTTTGACTCCGCTTTGCGTCGTGCCTAACAACGCCCCCTTAGCTGTTATAAATTCACTGAAAAACCAAGGCTTCTTGGGGCTTATTGCTTTATTATATCTTGGAATTCTGTCAAAAAAAAAAAATGTCTGAATCATGACATTGATTCATGTAAACTCCGAAATTACGAGGAAAAAGTCAGAATTATAAGATTAAAGTCACAATTACCATTTTTACTATTCATTCAGTGTCGGAAATGGGCTTCCATGCCTTTTTCATGCTTGTAAAGTGAAACAATTCCCTTTAATTATGTGTCTGCTATTTTGAAGCGGTTTGACGGAACAAGAGCCGACTGTATTAACGATCCGTGACTTTCTGTTCAGGGTGGCGGCTGCCGGTTCTTGAGGTACAACTGCTCCATTAACGCTCCCAGGAGAGGCTGGGCGCTCCTGCACCCCGGACGCCTCACTCACTACCATGAGGGCCTGCCCACCGTAGAGGGGGTCAGATACATCGTTGTCTCATTTGTGGACCCTTGAACTACTTTTTATCGGAAACTTGGATTTGCTTTGAATTCAGAAGACTCTAGAATAATCAAATCATGTTGACAGTGCCTTAGATTGTGAATATGCCAGTGTGTATATATATTTTCCATGTTTTACGTTACGTAGAGGCATGTTTTGATAACGATCGATGAATGTCGAAAGCAGTTTGACAGATCACTATGCAATATGTGACTTCTATGCAGTGACATTTCACTCGTTTATTTATTGTCATGTATTGAAGGGATTATTCCATACAGATGACGTGGATTTTGAAAATGTGTCTGTCCTTGCTTTGACATTCAGGTTTATTGAGTTGTTTTCTTTGTTGATGCCCTTCAAGCAATTGGTGCTGCTGTTTGAAAACAGTCTGACAAATGGTTTGTTTTCTTACTGCTTAGTGTTGCTTGTTTAGAGATGTATGTTCTTGTCTTGTTATGGATAAGTCATGTCATGAATTTTGAAAGAAAACAATAAAGAAGAGAAAACATTGTAATGGTTAATGGTATATAATTATGTCGTCAAAAAAATGAAAGTCCAGTCAATTTTTAACCTGTATGATTTTCACAAAAAGAAGCAATAGTACTTGTGTTGTGTCTGCAATTTGATTGCTTTTTTCTTTAATTTATCATCTCAAAATATGTTTTTGCTCTGTTATGAAACTGAAATCATTTTATGATTTAGAAAATAAATACATAAAGTAGCATAACAATGTGTTTGAGCTTCTGGCAAAAAGTCAGGCTTTGGTACCCTGAAGGTTTAATTGGTCTAAATTAGGATTTTTATTTTTATTTTTAGTCTGTCTTTAATTTAAATAAACTCCTGACGTCTCCACGTTAATCTTTAATATGTTTCCAAGTGTTATTTTAGAAAATGTAAACTTATAAAGCCACGTGTAACCTGAGACTTTTCTCTTCACAGTTGGTTAAATTACAAAAAAATATGAATATCAATTTTGCATATTAAAATTCAAGAATGTATGAGGTGGATTTATGTTTGTATGTCATGTACAAATCCCTGGCTTTTTTATTCAGATTTCACTGAATAAAAACATCTCGGTTATGTATGTAACCTTGGTTCCCTGGAGATGCTGCGATGACGTCATCGCTTCGGGGAACACCTTCGATGTGAAGAATGTCTGAAGCCCTTATACCATCATGCCAATTCATTGGCCAAATAGTGCTTAGCACCGCCCCAAAAGCGCACGTAGGTGAGCTATATAGCGTGCTGCGCACTATTCTCATCAGATTTCACTGATTTACAAAGGAAGCACTATCAAGGTACAGAACGGCCGATGACGTCATCGCTTTGGGAACGCTATTACCATAATGCCTGATGTACCGTAGATAGCTAGAAGACCAAGGAAAGTGTCTGCTCAAGCGGATAAGACCTGGGAGCCAGGAGCCATCCCTACGTCCAGACTATAAAACTTGATGAATGTGCTAGGAGAGGACCATCCTGCCGCAGCACAAACATCTTCCGACGAAGACCCTTTAAAGAAGGCCTGAGAAGAAGCCACTGCTCTTGTAGAATGAGCATGCACCCCTAGAGGCAAAGTCAAACCACGCGCCTCATAGGCCAAAGAAATAGCCTCCACTATTCAGTGTGACATCCGCTGTTTAGTGACAGCGGAACCTCTGTTCTTACCACCAAAACACATGAACAACTGATCAGATCTACGCCACTGAGCCGTATGGTCAACACAGGTCCTAATTGCCCTAACCGGACAGAGATTCAGGGCAACTGATCCCTTCTCTGCTGGGGAAAAAGCCTCCAGGACCACTTGCTGAAAGCGAAACGGAGTTGAAGCGATCTTAGGAACATAATCAGGCCTAGGTCGCAAAAAGACTTTTACCAGTCCTCCTGCCGCAGCACAAACATCTTCCGACGAAGACCCTTTAAAGAAGGCCTGAGAAGAAGCCACTGCTCTTGCAGAATGAGCACGCACCCCTAGAGGCGAAGTCAAACCACGCGCCTCATAGGCCAAAGAAATAGCCTCCACTATCCAGTGTGACATCCGCTGTTTAGTGACAGCGGAACCTCTGTTCTTACCACCAAAATACACGAACAACTGATCAGATCTACGCCACTGAGCCGTATGGTCAACACAGGTCCTAAGTGCCCTAACCGGACAGAGATTCAGGGCAACTGATCCCTTCTCTGCTGGGGAAAAAGCCTCCAGGACCACTTGCTGAAAGCGAAACGGAGTTGAAGCGATCTTAGGAACATAATCAGGCCTAGGTCGCAAAAAGACTTTTACCAGTCCTGGTGCAAAGTCCATACACGAAGGACTAATGGAGAGAGCCTGCAGGTCCCCTACCCTCTTAAGGGAGGATAAAGCCACCAAAATAATGGTCTTAATGGTCAGTAACTTGTCTGACACCGACTCCATTGGTTCAAAGGGATGGCCTGTCAGGCCCTCCAACACAATCGATAAGTCCCAAGA